ACGTAACAAAATTGTTTCGCACAAATGATAGGACGTGTACAACTCACTAAACTGAGTAAAAAAAACCAGTGAACATGCGTTCAAAACTCAATAGTTTCCGAGATAAAAATAGGTTTAATTTAAAAAAAAATGTATGGGGACCGAATCAAGAACACCGAATTATCTCGGAAAGTATCAGTGTCATACGAACAAATGTGTCAAACAAAAGTTGCAGGGTATGAAATATTACATGTTACAGTGGGAAGTATTTAACCGTGAGGTGACCTTGAAACGTCCTGCAGAGTTCACGTTACAATTCTTAAATAGAACCTCATATTTTCTATTCCATATTTTTGAAGCCAACATTCAGACGTTTTCAAGCCAGAGACATTAAATTTCGCCACCCTTACTTAAATCAAACTCTCGATAAGTTTAAAAAGTATTTTACTCGATTTCGTGACTTGGAATCCAGTTGAAATATTTTTTATCATACAGTGATCATACTCGTACGAGCGAGTCTTTATCTCTGTACGCGGAACATGCGACTTTCTAAAGATTACATTTTGTATCATTAAAATACACTGTATACACTTTACACGTATAGTACCTATGTATTGATATAACTCGATACTGATAGAGATAAGATAAGAATAGCGTCGCCGCATGAAACAGCTGCAACGAAGCTATGAAAGTTGCGCGGCCTGTAACGAGATATGCACTCGGGCAGCTCAATTTTTTCGGGTAACTTGATTGTTTCGGGCAACCAAACTTTCTTACATCGAATTGAAAGAAATAAGACCGGCCCGGGCGTACACAAGCGAAACCAATTATTTGACTCAAGATTATGTTTGAAATGATTGGAAATGGATGATTAAATAATGAAACAATATATATTTTACAGTATGACTTTATTATAACAGCTTTGAAAAACAGGTCTAGCTCTTTCAAGTTCTCGAATGCGAATGACTCGGAACACCCAAAAGAAAGTTGGGGTCCACTTTTCTTTACAAGATCGATTACGGTCTTGCCTGGAGAAAAGTCTCTTGAGTTCGCGTGACAAAATCCAGACACGTCTAGTTGCCTTTCTGTGGCCTTTGTTTAGACTAAAGATATATGAACGTTGGGCATTTTTGCTTTTGCTAGCTTAGCATTAGTAATAATTCAACAGAAATTGATATATTGTATTATATATTATAGACATGTCTGTGGCTGTCAGAAAAATGCAAATTAATGTACAAATTATGAGCTTGTATGTTAATTGAATTGTAAGATATAGGATTTATGTATCCATTACAAAAAATGCATAAAAATAAACTGTATATGAACAAAAAATGCAACTTAACCGAAATCCAATGTTTAATTCAAATACGTTAGGCAATACAGTTCAAAAGTCCACGACATTTGAAGAATACAACGATTACATTATTTTTTCTTTTTTCTTTATAAAATCATTGAACGTGATATAAAATATGTGGGATAACCTATCAATCGTACAATGGAATTTTTTACGTAGCTAGAATCACTAAAAGACGCAACAAAGATTATGAGTGGCGAAATATATCCAACGATATCGCAGTATTATCTCGTTTATAGAACCACTCCTTGTTAACACTGAAACTGCTGGATAACAATGATGTAATTCATAATTTCTTCTTTTATAATTACTGAAAAGATACAGATACTTCTATAGTGTATATGGATCGGAAATAATACAGAAATATATAAACTAAATAAATATAAATGTTTATTAATACTGAACTAGGTAACGGTTAACACGTTCAATGTCACACGATTTCACAGAGCAAAATACACAAAACGGAAAAAATATAATACAAAATCATTCAATTGAATTGCATTATTATTATTCCACGTTCATCTACTTAAATGTCATCGCATTGGGTAGTTATAAAATAGAAGTGTTTTCAAATAATCGTCGTTTAATTAAGTGAACTATAGTAATTCACCGGTGACCCCCATAGCATTCAACGTTAAATATAATACATATTAATTTAAATAATATTTGAAAATATTAACAATATAAACAACTACATATATAAGTACAGTATTCCTACGATTAGTACCCGATCCGATTTGCAAGATCCGGCAGTCATCTCCAACACTGAGGGCCGAGTCTCTCGGCAAACCGAGAAGTTCAGCGGTCGAGCAATTGTAATATGATACTGCAGAGATCCCACATTAACCAAGCTGACCTTTGGTTCAAAAGGGAAGAAGGACAAGGGGATTCTTCTACTCACGACGCTCGGGCCTCGACGTGCACCAATAATAACCATAAATCTAAAAACCGAGCGTTATGAGTGGAAAAGTCCCCTTGCCCCTCTTCATTTTTGAACCAAAGATCGGCTTGGCTAACGTGGGACCTCCACAATACTTGTTCCGTGGTGGTACACATCGGTGAGACAATATTAATACAATTATAAAACCTTTTGATCAGGGTTTTATTGTAAATGAAACTTTTATTAATGCATTTGTGAGATTCTTCTGTTTAAAACAGACCATACATGACACATTTTAAATCAAAGTTTTCTAGAAGAAAATAGGTTATTGTAATTTAGGAGATAAGTAAATATGTTCCCAAATATATCGTGTTTGGCCTCGTTTTAATAAGAAAAACCTCACGATCCAAATTATAAATGTTTCAATCAGTAAAAGTGAAGAATAAAAACGTTTAATATTGCATCTATGTCCCATCATTTATCTGTTTGTTTTGATCATTCCGAAGTTTAGATCTCTTGTTCTTTCATTCGTATCATTCTTTTCTACAAAAGACAAACAGAGAAGCCCGGCTCAGATCTTACCTTGACTTGAAATCAACACCACTGCACCGTAGTGGCTAAATACGAGGCATAATTTCTCGCCTTGATGGCCAACACACTTTAAAACCAATTGGGACGTAGGCCAATGCATTTTCTGTAGACACAGACTCCCTTTTCGATATTCGCATTAAAAAATCATTCTCTCCCCCATAGCATTCTTCTCACTCGCGCTCTCAATAAACTCTGGAACACATCCCTTCAAAACTGAACTGGCAATCTTGGACCAACGCGACGCTGTGCAGGCCACTTTCCTCCGACCATTACAGCTTTCCTCTTTTATTGCCCTTAAAAAACATTTTAAGAAGTTAGTTTAATTACTCGGTAGTTCTGGTGTTAAACGTACTGAAAATTACACTTACCGCCAGGAAGTTGAGGATATTACAAATATTTCGAAGAATGTCATCAACGCATTGAAGGTAATTTCAAATATTTATCTATCTATTGGAAGAAAATAGTTAACATAAAAAGTATAAATGAATTGCATTAAGTAGAGTCCGACATTTTATTTACAGGAGCGTTTTGGAGTCACTATCCAAAATGAAGTATACATGTTTCCAATTATGCTAGATTAGCGATATAAAATTAGTTTACTATCGTTGGCAGAAAAAGAAGTAATGCGAGTTAAAACTACCCAGCAAATAAACGCTGCGCTACCAGGAGACGCGAGAAATGCGTCAATAACGGAAAATATTGCAGAGACATATGGTAAGTTTTAAAAATCTTAATATAATATTATTACTTCTACTAATTCATCTTTATATTAAAATTTACTGATTATGGATTAATTATAACAACATCAAAATTATTTACTTTTCTAATCCATACTCTAAAAACTCTGTATTTTCAATTTTATATTTTTCCATTATTTTGTCTCCGTCGAAGAATATTAAATATGCTAAATCTTAAGATATTAGAGCTTCAGTATTTGTGGGAAAGTATATTTTTTACTTAAAAGAAAAATCACACAAATCGGTTGATTGGTTTTTGAGATTTATATTCCAGTGGTTTGAAAAACAGTAGTTTGAGAAAAGCGCGTTTAAAGTTTCAAATGATAATAAGTTCATCTAGCGGCAGTAGTCACCAGAATGTTTATAACTTCCTTCATTTTCATAGTTTTGAAATATCATTTTAAGTACGTATTGTTCATGCATCAATGAAGTGAAAAATGAAAAAATAGGAAAATAAATATTTTAAAAACTCTGGATTAGAACTCCTCTTTAGAAGGTATTATATTAGACAGCGGAAAAAGTTCGTGCGAGTTCTTTACTTCAAATTTAAACAAAGAAAACATTTTCATAAAATAATTTTATTTCACTTGATACCGACGGCATAGACATAGCTTGCTGCTAATGCCAATTTCATTCATTAAACTAGTGAAATGTTAATTGAAATCAGA